TTTTTTTTTTTTTTGGTACCAGGGATTGAACTCTGGTCTTTGCGCTTGCAAGGCAGGCCACCAAACTGCTGAGCTAAATCCCTGGCCCACTATACACTTTCTTAATCAGGATTCTAGGAGAAGTTGAGTCATAAAACTTTAAGGTATCTATACCAAGTAATGAATTAATTGCTTTTCTTTGTTTACAGAAGCACACTATTTAAAATCCTTGGGAAAAACTGAGAAAATTATTTTCTGTGTTCTGTGGATCAGAATAAGAACTCTAGTTGGGCTCACGATTTTGCCAGCATTTAGTAGCTGCTTACCACTGCAAACGGAAGAGCTGATGTTGTACAGAAATGGATAAAACTGCATACAGCGGATCAACTTCAGGCTGTTTTCACATTCTGGACATTTGGTGGTTAATTTCAAGGCCTGTCTGAAGGCTTCAAGCGCCCCAGTGATATTCTTCAAAGCAAGGTAAGCATTTCCCAGGCTCAAAAAGGTCAGGGGCTAGAAAGAAAACCATAAGTAAAGAAAATATTAGCAAAATGTTCATGAGTATTTTCTGAGAGTTACAAAACCCGGACAGTGTATCTTTTGGCTTTTCTTAGGTTACCTCAGTAAGGATCACTACCAACTCTCCATTTGATTTACATCAGCCAACTGTAAACTGTGTAACGTATGTGAATGAATTTTTTACCTTTTTACTGAGACAAAAACTTACAAAAGTGTGTAGTATATCCTAGTCTTATGTAAACAATTCAATGAATTTTAAAAATCTGACTATATCCCCCATACAGTAACTAAGACTCAGCTCAAGATATAAAACATTTAGAATGTTTCTAGTATACCAGGAGGTTCCTTAGTTGATGCAAGCCCACCCCAAGAGTAGCCAATGTTGCTGTATGGCTTCCATCACCATAAATTAACTTCACCTGTTCTTGAGTTTCATATAAATGGAATTACACAGCACATTCTCTTATATGCATATAGATCATGTAGCCTTTCATAGCTTCTTTCACACAATCCAAAATTTACTGATGTTTTTGTGCATATGGTGGTTCATTCTTTTCTTCCCAAATGATTTGTAATGTTCCATTGTATGACTGTACCGTGGTTGTTCATCCATTCTCCTAAAGACTGGCATTTGGGCTGCTTCTAGCTTCTGGCTATTATGAATAAAGCTATAAGGAATATTCTTGTATCTTTTGCTGGGTTTACTGTATTAATTTTCTTGGGACAGATAATACCTAATGTACCATAGAGTTGGCATATATTTAGATTTATTTATTTATTTATTTTTTTTTTTATTGAGTTTATTGGTACATTTAGGGATACAGTACAGTTACATTCATTGTTGGGATCATGTACCTTTACATGGCAAGTCTTGATTCTCATTTTTTTCCCCTTACCTCTGCCCTCCCTTCACCCCCTCCTCCCCTCCCCATCTACAAACACTTTATTTTCATCTTTTCATTCTCTCACATTTTTTTCTTTTCCCTTTTTGTTCTTCCCCTACGTATCACACCTTCCCTACACCTTTAGCTCCTTTCCTCCCGGCATATATTTAGATTTAATAGATACAACCAAGACCACTCTATAGAAACAAAAACAAAGTAAGAATATTTTCAAGTTCTTGTGAAGATGCAACAGAAATCAAAATTGAGGAGACTGAATAGTTTAAGGGTGATTTTTAAAAGTAAGCTAAAAAGGCAAAGGAAATATTTTTAACATGACAGGAAACAACTGTGCAAAGCTTTTCATACATAAATAAATTCCAACAAAATGAATATGCAAACTCTTTAAAAATATGACTGAAAGATAAAATACTGTACAATAGAAGTGACATTTTTAAACAAGCAAATTTGTTATATAAATATTAACAGAGAGACAGTATAACATCACTAAAGAGTATGAGCTCTGTGACCAGTTTCCCTGAGTTCAAATCCAAGCTTAGCAAATCCTGTAATTTTCCTGTTAGTTTCCTTATCTACCAAAGAGTCAATTCTATCTCACAGGGTTGCTATGATAACTAAATACAAAATGCTGGGTAACATGTAACAAAGCTAACAAAATATTTATTCTTTCATTGATTAGTAATCTCACTTAGCAATCTTAGCTAAGGACATTATCTAGAATACAGAAAAAGAATCTTGTAGAAAACTGTATTACTGGTAATAACTAAGCATTGTTAACACCTAACAAATAACTTGTAGCGTGTTAATTCAGTGAATTTTTCTACAACCATTTAAACTGATGGCTTTAAAAACCATGTAGCAATAAATGTATTAATGAAACAAGCTTTAAGGGTCACTAGTATAGTAAAGTTGCAAGACTATGAAATATTTTCATAGAAGACACGCTTACCAATTAGTACTTCTAAATGTTGGCAGTTGGGGAGCAAGTGCTGGTAAAGGTGTATTTTTGATGTATCCACCCTGATCCATGGATTTGTCTTTTTAATTTCTTGTTGCAGTACCACCATATTTAACAGTTAAAATTTTAGATCTCTAGGAAGTTCTTCTTTCTTCACAGAAATACTACCTAACAGCCTTGGCTGGTAGCAGTGGAAAGTGAAACTTAAGTGGTTATCATGGGACTACAGCTGTACTGAGCCTTCCAATTAGACGTCTACTTCATCACATCTGTGTTTTATATACTTGTATAACCTGTTCTTATACCAGCAACTGGCACATAGTAAGCATCAGATAAATAGTTGATGTACTTAGTGGGAACTTGACCTATTAAACAGACATTATAAAGTTTTGCCTAAAATCCAGTTGTGAGTTCGTGTATAGGGACTGTAAACTTTTTAAAAAATCCACCTGTAAATTTATGTATTTCAAAAGAAACTATTTAAAACAGGCAGTATTTTGTCTTCACACTTAAAATTCTAGTTTTGGAATACCTTAAATAAACTAAACAATTCATGCATCTTTTCAAAGGATCCTAAGGATAAAGAAATACAAACCTGTAGGCATTGAGATCGATTTAATTTATTTTTATCACAACTGTATTTCATCGAACTTAGATGACAACAGTTATGCATCCTGATTTCAGACATGCTAAAGTATGGGGAAAAAAGAAAAGTGGTACCCTTGATATTAGAGCTAGTGACTTCATGTGGGAGGTTCAGGGCATGAACATTAATCTATCTATTTATTCTTATCAAAACAACTTTAAAACTGTGTGCAGGCTTGGATGGTATAAATATAGCTTATAAATTAGAGCTATAAAATAGTGTACATAATATTAAGCAGTGAGCACACGGTGATGAGGATAAAATAAGAACCAGGTGTTTCCAACTGACTTAAAAAAAGTAGCAGCATGTTTTTACAGCTGTATCATTCTTTTTTAAATGTAAGTTTCTTTAAAAAGTTAACTGTGTAGTTATAAATCCTTTTTTTATTAAAATTTATAAAGATAAGACAGAAATAATTTATGTTCACTCTTGAAACATGCAAATTCTGCCCTGAAAAACAAAGCATGACATTTTTATGCCCTTTCTAGAAAAACAGAAATTGTACTACAAAACAGTTCCCCCGCATAGTATATGAAACTACAGTCCATCCATCCTCACCTCAGAGCTATTGACAGCCAAAGCATGAAGCAGCAGCTTGGTGGCATCAAGATGGAGGCCGTAGTGAATCAAAAGGTTGGCCAAGTTGACAAGAGGAATGTCCTGGTATTGAAGTGGAGCTAGATTCAAAGCCCTCTGAAGACAAGCAATGGCAAAGGTGCTATTTCCTACTGCTCTCCAGTACAGCCCAGCTTCATTGAGAATGAGCCAGATAGGAGCATTGGGCTGGAAATGCCAAGGCACACTTCAGTTAGTTAAAAGGTACAGTACTTGAGTAGGATCTTTAATAAATACATTTTAACTTTTAGTTACAATTACTAAGCACTGTAAGTTTCAGGTGTTCTAAGTAAACAACTCACCTTATTAATAGCGTGAAATAAGAAAGACCCAATTTCTTCTTCTGGGACAGTATAGTTATTAATACGGGAAAGCAAAATCTGAAAACATCAAAAGGAAGACTGACTCAATTGAAAATAAAAAGGGAAGACATCTGAACAGAATTTGTCTTTACCTGGACAGAGGCAGCTTAGGAACAGTTACTCTGAATAGATATTTATAATATATAGAAGGAGCTCACTGACATACCAACAGCTGTTGACCTGCTCACACATATGCACTAGTTTCCTTTAACTAAAAAGAGTACACACCCACACACATTAGCACAGCCACATACATACGTGATAATTCACCTTATCCCAGTAGTGTCAAGAACCGAATGAGAAATTATTCAGAAGACAATATGCAATAATACCTGATGTGATAAAAATCTGTCTTCCCTCATTGGAAAGTACCCGATTCCCCTTAATCTACTTTCTCTTCCTGTAGCATTAGGTAACTGTGAACAACTCTAATGCAAAGAATACGGTCTTATTTACCTCTGTATTCCAAATACAAAACAGTAGCTGGAAAATGATTTTTTTTTTTTTTGCCTCAGTAAATGTTTACCAAATATAAGTAGTAACTGCTTATACTTTTGACATTTTTTTAAAAAAGGTGGTCATGATGGTGTTTTTTTTTTCTTCAAGAAAGGCTATGTAATAGTATGTAGTATAGATCAACATTCTGTAATGAAATATTCTTGGTCATACATAATATGAATTAAATAAAACAGCATAACAGAACTTATTTATAATTTTACAGAGTGGTTATCAAATTGATACCTATTCCTATGGCCAAAGCAGGGCTGGCGAGGACAGGGGAACAGAACCTTCAAACTTTGTTTATATAAACTTCTGGAGGACTGAGGGGTACACAGTGGTCAGAATGGCCTCTGTGAGACGGGCTCTACAAGGTAAAGAGTTCTACCAGAGGGTCCAAAGAACAAAGACTGCTCAGTTGGTTTATGCAAACAGCAGTCCCAAGGAACACTTGCCTGGCGCTCCCTTATTAGCACGCCTGAATTCTCAATCATTTCAATTCTCTAACTCTATCCTTGAGTTTTATAAATGTAAAGCTCTACTACGGACTCCTCTCAAATTCTTGTTCCATCAAAGCGGCTTCGGAAGTCACCCAGAATGGACGGCAATAAACACCAGCCTAAGGGAGCCTTACTTTTCGTGCATGGTCATCTGGTATTTTGGCTTTCAGATCCATGCGGACCTCTAATTCTTTGACTAAGTAGGACAGAGTGTGGCTTTTTCTGAAGTCAGTTATGGAACAGTCAGGGGTTTGGGCCTCTTCTTCTGAAGAATAATCATCACTGCTGAGTTCGTGGATCCTGGCACAAGAAAAAGGAACAAGATTCATATTTTCAAAGTTTGAGTGAGTTCAAGATAAAGACTTAACCTTTCAAGTCCAAGGCTGGTGCTCTCAAAGAACCGCCAGATGACAACCATGCAGAATCAGGTGCTTTGCCAAATCCATCAGCACTTGCCTGAGTCCTTTGTTCTCCGGAGGCAGAAAATATGTTGGCAATTCCCTGCCAACAGGGACTCTGGGGTAGCTCTCTGTACAATCTGCTCTTTTAGGCCACAGAATACTCTGTTTGTCCTAAGAAAGAAACAAAGCTGCTCATAAACCTCTTTAGGCTATTTCAACATGATAAATTGCTAAAAGAATTTGGGTCTATTAGGGAAACTGAACAGAAATGTAGTATTTCAAGATAAATACACTGTGGTAGATTCATTCCAAAGCACTCTTTCTACTGCAGATTTTCAGTCTCAATCAGTCATCCCATCGCCTCACCACAGACTGGCTGAAGGCTGGGCAGACCTAAGCCAGCTGAGCCAGCGAGACACCGATTTGATTGGGGTTTGTGGGAAAGAAAAGCAAGTCTTAGTTTCCTCTGCTACTTATGAACAAAAAGGATGCTGTTCAAGCTGCTGCTTGTGCTCTCATCTTACGATCATTAGGAAAAAAAGTTTTCTGATAAAATCATACTGAGTATGGCAGAGTGAAGAAAAAAGGACAGAAATGAGTCACTGATGATATTGGTGACCCAGAGTCAACCAAATCTGAAGTTTTACCCCACTTCTGGACTTTCCATATTAAGGACAATTTTTCTTTTAGTTTAAGTCAATTTTGGACACAGTTTGTGACTTACGGACACATATGCTCATAAAATTGGTACAGGAAACTTTTTCTTTGCAAACACCAAGATGACAACTGTTTTTTGACTTATAAAATTTTAATCTTTCTAAATATAAATAACTATAGCAGAGGCCTGCTAAAATTATATCCTGAAGCTATCAAATTTTGAGGAGCGTATATTATAGATAATTAAATCTAAGTGGCTGTTTAAATTTTGTTAGAATAAATTAGTTCTAGTGAATAAAAAAGGCCTCTGTCCTCAAACCTTGGCACTGCTATCAGCCAACATATAATTTCTGGCCTAGATACGAGTATGTGCCACTGTCTTCCACTAGAATGTAAGCTCCAAGAGACAAGGAACTTGCCTAAGACCTTCCTAGCACCAGCCAGCCGCGCAGGGGGAGTGCAATAAAAGAATGCTGATTAAATATGTACAGATGTACACTTAGGTCATATTTAGTTGGTAATTATACTCAGAGTGCAGAGTGATGTACAGAGAGGGTCTCGCCATTTAGCCCAGGGTAGCCTTGCATTCGTGATCCTATTGTCTCAGCCTTCTGAGTGCTGGGATTATAGGTGTGCACTCAAAATGCAAAGCTAACCAAACCAGTGTTCCTACCTGCCCCATTTAACTGGGAAGAACTCAAGGCAGAGGCTGTGTCTTACTTGTCTCTCAACAAACAGATGACTTCTATTTGCTAGCACTTTAATACATGTTAGGTGCACTGGCATGACAGCAGTGGGGCCGTGCTCAGCAGTGGGGCTGAGGGCCACTGCTTTACAAGGTCTTGTCCATCAGAGAAAAGCATTCTTCACCCTCTAAAAACGTACCCGATATGTGTCAGAGTCCTGGCCCCACACCCAGAGAACAGAGTGGGCTATGGGGGAAGACCTGACTGAGTCACTGACACCACTCTGATTTGTAGGAACGTCGAAGTTCACAGATGTCATACTGGAGGTTGATGAATCCTCACCAAACTAGAAAATGAAAAGAAAAGCTCAATCCAATTGTGAGTAGAAAAGGAGTTATGACCAACATTTAACGCAAATTAAAAAAAAGCTACTGAATATTCATGATGAGTGAGACATCAGAAAGAGGGTCAGCAATGAAATAACCAGCTCTTTTAATTTTAAGAATTACTACAGTAGTCTCTCATGGAAAATGCATGGTTAGCGATTTTCAGTCAATTTTGCTACTGTAGTATGAGAAAAGCAGCAAGGATTACCTTCCTTTTCCTTTACTTCCTTTCTATGATTTATTTCTTTTGAGGTTTAATGATTAACTCATTTAGATATTTGGTTCATTATGCCCTTCCCTCGCCCAGTCAAAAGTGATTACTACTCTGAAATATAATTAGTGTGCTGTGGGTGGAGGCAAGGAAGAAAAGCATTCTTAAGGGTTTAATGTAACTGTCACTTAAGAGATTATACTCTCCTGTCAATCGATTCTAAATACAAGCTTTAGAGGTGTGGGCAAAATGAGGAGATGGAAGGGAAATGAGGAAATGAAAAACATAATAGCCTTCCCCTAAACCAAGGTAAACAATGTCTGATATACTGTAAGACACCATAGTTCTTGTGCATTTCTGAAACCTCATTAGGTAAGGAGAACAGGACTGGGGATGGAATGGAATAGGAAAGGCATGAGAAAAAGATATGAAATATGATGAATTTGGAAATCTAGGTCTTTAAGAATGAAAAAAATTTTTCACAATACAGTGGTAATATAATTTTATGAATATGGATTATTGGAAGCTACACCAGTGCAGGACAGTTCTGAAACCATAAAAACATCCAAAAATCACAATGGGCTTTAACCTTTTTCCTTCTTAAATATTCCTTTTTATCCCCCCTTAAAATGCTTGGATTTTAGTTAGGAGGCTACAGTCCCCAATTTTGTAACTCTGACCTTCCTTTATTCCTTCTTTTGAAAACTAAAGGAGACTGCTAGGAACTGTTGTTTTACAAAAATCAGAGGAAGCTTTTGATCCACATTACTACTTCCTTTGTTGTTGTTGTTGTTTTTTTTTTTTGGCACTGGGGATCGAACTCAGGTCTTTGTGAGGCAGGTGCCAGAATCTCTGAGCTAAATCCCTGGCCCACTACTTCCATTCTTAAATAGCTTCCAATTTCTGTTTTTTACTCTTTCCCAACACAGTCTGGGTTTCTTTAGATTAAAAAGGCTCTATAATTTATGATTTATCTTCCTAGTGGTGCTTTCCTGATTTCTTTGCTAAGCTGCTTCTCTGTGGAAATTTCTATATCTATGATAGGGCATGACAGGTCTTACCTAAGATAGTATGAATACTGTCTCATTTTCAGTATCTTTTTGTAGGAGATTTGGAATTCTGGTTGTGCTCATTCCCGTGTCACTTATTCAGCATCAGCAACAGCTTCACGCTATTCAGTATCATTGTATTTATGTATTAGCTCTTCCCAATGAGATAGGCTAGGATGGCATGTGTGTGTGCGTGTGTGTGCAGAGACCAAAAGGTAACAGAAGGTATGCATCTAGCAATGGTGCTCAATAACAATTTTCTGTAGCTCATGATAATTTTGCTATGTTTTTGGTTGAGGTAAACTAACTGGACTGATGAATTCAGGAAAGAGCTCTCTTTCAAAGTTAACATAGGTGTACTATAAAGGGCTCAGAGGGAAGATAAAAATTTTGAATTAAATAGTAGCAACAGTTCAATTCTATCTCCTATGGGAAAGAAGAAAATAATCAAATACATATGTATACTCATTCACAGAAATACTTCAGGGAATGGAATGTTATCCATGTGGTAACTCAGTATTCATGACAAAATCTAACTTCATAAACGCAGTAGATACATAAAAATCTTAGAGATTTAAATGATACAAAGTTTGGGGATCAGATATACAAGAAATCAAGGGGAAGAACATGGTATTGCTCTTAGATATGCAAAAGTTAAGAAGCAGAAGTGATCAAGAAAAAGACCTGAACATAGTCCACGTTTTCAAAGATATCTCCTCGGTGGTAGCGCACAGGCTGGTCCCACTGGCAATGTAAGCTATGCTGCTGGTTGACCAGCCGGCATATTTGATGATTTCCTGAAATAAGACAGAAATTACACAAATCATGAGCATAGTCTGCAGTGCCCATGAGCTTTTCTTAGTCCAAGCCATTCCATTTTAACTCTGTGTACGTAAGAGGATAGCACAGTACTTATTCCAAGGGTATTTATATAGAGGAACTTGTTACTAATTAAGTCAATTCCAAAGAAGCTCCAGGCTCCATCTGTAAAACAAAAGGCTCCCCAAGATGATCATGGAGGTATCTTGTGCCAATTATACTCTGACTGTAAAATCCATTGGATAGTCTGAAAGGACACTGGCTATGTCTCTGGAGAGAAAACGCCCTTATGTATTTCCTAATTCTGTTTCAAATTTGTATGTAAGAGCTCCGATTACATTTTAGGATAGACCAGCAATAAATCATCTAAAGAATGAACATATTCTTTATACTCAGATCATAAAATGTTCAGGGCTAAGGTTCAAAAGTTAAGAGGCTTGTCACACCAATGTGTTTATCAAGGGAAGATGTGATTTAAGGAACTCAAGGAACTCTATTCATTTATTCTCTGGTGTCAACTTGCCAGATCTGCTCCTCTGGGATTTAATCCAAATGAAACGTTCTGGATATAACTCAAGTTCCCCCTCTGGGGTCACTAGTGGTTCTATTTTCTGGGTCGCAAACACTAAGATTTTAATAACAGCCACGTATCATTTTTTCAGAAAAAAACTGTGCTCATAAACAACTGCATATAACTCTGGAAATAATTTCAGAGCTCCCTGAAACTAACGCATTGCCCAGGTTAAGAATTCTCACCAGACACAACTCTAATTTAAAAATCTTCTACAATGGTGTTTGCTTTTAAGGTTATGAGGGGGGACAAAAAAAGATGTTTAACTCTGTCGCCCAGGTTAGCTGACGAGTACGTATGTGCTACTTCTCTGTGTGTCTGGCTTGTGTCTGCATAGTGTAGGGTCTTGTTAGTCACGGGGCAGTTTTTACACCACCAGCACCTTTAGATTTGCGAGCTTCTTAAGAAGGCAGAATCTCAGGCCCCTCCTCAGACCCATGAATCAGGATCTGCGTTTTAACAAGATCGCCTGCAGATAAGAAACACAAGATTCTAAAAATCTAAGAGACTTGGATTTGGTTTCAATATGTGAATAAAAGGGCAACCCGGCGAGCCCCCAGGCATGCCATATAATTACCATAATGAGTCTGATCTTAAGATCGAGGGAAGTCATAAATGCAACTACATGCTCCTTAAGGTTGGGTATTACGGGTGAGCCATGCTAGCACTGGATTTCCTGACCTGTCTTTAATAACGTGGCACTGCCACTTACCTAACTGCGCTTCTTTTGCCATCTGAGTCTCGTGGATGATATTTCTTAAGATTTGCTCTTCCTGAATCAGCTTGTGCTTCTCCAGGATCTCCTGCTGTCGCAGGTAATGGTCGTGCTGCTTCTGATACTCTTTTAACTCATTCAGTGTTCGCTGGAGGGATCTTCACATTTTTCAAGACCACAAAAAAAGATCTTTAAAATTATGAATTTTTAAAAACCTACTTAGATGCACAGCATTTCTGGTTCTCAGCAGCAATTATTTTTTCTTTTTATTTAACCCAAAACTATCTTGTTCAAGAGTAACAAGGCTAAACATGGTAAATGTCATTCTTTTACTTGAGAATGAAACATGAACGCAAAAACACTTTTTCTAAAGATGACCACGTTAATGTCAGATGGTGCCCTGGACTTTTTCAGCTGCCATAAAAAATACACCACACTGTCCTGTTTTCCCACGGGAGCCACGGTGGGGGGGGCAGGCGGGAGAGGAAGCCAATGTGGTTCCTCCAGTTCTTGTCAGAGCTGAGCTCTGTCCCTTCTCAAAAACCCAATCCTCTGATGCTCCTTTTCTCTTCATCCATCAATAAAACCACCCTGTCAAATACTTACTACATCTTCGTGGTGAAATGCATATATTTACTCTAACTGAAACATTACATAAGGTTTTCACGTATTGAGGCTTCACATGGTACCCCAAAAATATGTACAATTTTATGTTTTTTCTACATCAGTTAAAAGATAAATTTAGGGCTGGGGATGGTAGCTCAGTGATAAGGAGCACCCGCCTAGCATATGTGAAGCGCTGGGTTTCATCCTCAGCACTGCTAAGTAAGTAAATAAGTGGCTAAATAAAGCATAGGGAGCTAAATTATTAAGAGCACAATAATGGAAGAAGCTCGACCAGAGTAAGTTCTGAGTAGGTAAAAAAGAAGCCTGACATAAATAAGCAAGTTATCATTCTTTATACTATATTATGCTAAAGCAGATTGGAAAATATGTAAATATAAAAGTTTAATGAGCTCTAAATCTCTACTTAATCTCATAATAACCAAAATGCACTCAAAATATTAAAGCTAATCCTGAAATGAATAATTCACTTCTGAGTTATGTGAAGTTTTTAACTGGCCTATAATTTATGGAATCAAACATACTTTATTAAGTATACTGCAAGGACTAAGTACAAGAAATTCCATTACTGTATAATTTAATAGACAAGTCTGATTAAAATGTGGGCCAAATAATGTCTCTCAGTGTCACTTAACTAATAAAAGAACAGTCTAATCCTAGAAGCCAAAGGGGGAAAAGATCAAATATTGCATTATGTGTGATTTTACTGATACAGTAGTCCATGAAGGTAAAAATGTCATCAACAGCCTCAGCTCCATTTTCCTTGGTAACAGTAATTCATGGTCAAAATTGTGGAGAATTAAATGCAAACATTCTCTATACAACCACTGGATTGTGTTCAACAAAACATTTGGAGAAAAGTAATAGGATTTGCAGTAGTGAAGGGGTTTCTTTCTTAACTCTCACGATCAGGTAAACAGCATAGTGCCCTCCAGGTCCACCTGAGGATTTGCAGTGCTTTCTGCAAAACGTTTCCCCCTAATTACCTATGTTGAGCTTCCAATTTCTGCTCCAGTTTTTGCTGACAGAGGACAGCATGCTTCCTCTTTAGAGCTTGCTCAAACCCAGGTTTGGCCTGCAAAGCATGGTCATAACAGAGCACCGAGTGGTTATATTCCCCCAGCATCTGAAGAGACAAACATGGACACACAAATATACACACACGGGGGAACAGAAGTTAGCCAGGGCTTTCCCTGCAGCTGCTGAAACACCTGATGATTTATGAAATCACATCTACATTTCACTCTACAGAGAACGTCACTCTTGTCAGTGACCAAATCCCCATTATATGAAGGCGTGCTATAGGGGGAAGGCACTGCTTTCCTTAAGTTTATCCCGTCCAGTTAAAGTTCCAATCAGTTTCATTGTTTTTCTTTTCTTGTCTAGCGACTAGGACCATTACGATATAGTATTGGACCAAGTCCCTTAATTTCTTTATTTCCACTGTCTAGAGCAAAAGAAGAAGGGAAAAGAGAAACATTCTGTTGAGAAAACAAAGAACAGAAAACCCTGAAAGCAGCAACTGGTACAGCTCATGAAACAAAAAGGAGTATTTACTGCATATATGTTCCCCAGCGTGTAGTAGCCGGTGAAGGAGTCACTGTCGTCCAGGGCCGCGTGCACCACGACAGCGGCGTCAGCGGAGAAGTGTGCTCTGTGCAGCACATTGGCTAAATTGACCAAAGCTATGTCTTTGTGATGCCTAAAAGAAGACAAATGCAGCTAGATGTTAGGAGAGAAACACGTGCTCCACGGTGATGCATCATTAGCCGACACTACACTCAGGAAGATCACTTTAAGTATACTTAGAAAAGAGAACGCACTGAGAAAGTAAGAATCATAATGTTTCATTTGCAAATTACTGACAGTGCTTACTCCATCCGACAATGATAGATTACGCCACAAGGGTCAAGGTCTGGCAGAAACTTTACAACCTGTTTAGTGCTTGTTTTGAGAAAAGTTACACGTATGATAATCGCTCCAGTCAAGGTCCTCACATGCATGTCTCAAGGGAATCACAGGCATCTACCTTACATATATGTATATTTTTTCTTCTTTAATGGAAATTGTAAAATATAATTATTATACAGTTCTCACTTTGAACTTTTGTGATGGGACTGATTTCTTTGAGTAAGAGATGGAGGAGGGGGTCAGGATAATGCCATGCTGTTACTTTCTTATGTCTCACGTCTTTAAGTGTCCTGAGTATGTGGAAAGTCAGGAGGTCCAGATGAAGAGAAATCTTACCTAGAAGAGAAATGAAGCGCTCGCATGGCACATTCCACTACTTGATATGGTTCATTTTTTATTCTCCAGTAAAATGAAGCCATGTTATATAGCACCCATGAAGAAGCATTCTACAGATTAAACAAAACAATTGACAAAACTCAAGGTCTTTAATTGAAAACATTCAAAATGAGCATCAATACTCTTAACTCTTCTGAAATTCAAGATGAAGAAGTACAAGACTATTTATAGTCACAAGAAAGCAAATGTATGAATAAGCTATTTCTGCCCATAGAGCCCCCTGATCACGAGCTACTGAGTAGCCAGAGGTGTGAACTTCATAGAGAGATCATCCAACTCCAGGCTACCATTCCTGGGGGAAATAGAGCTGAAAAGCTCATGCAGCCACAGCTTGTTGGACCATACTTGAGAACTTTAGAAAATAAGGCTTAATATATTTAGAAATGCCAAAAACAGAGAGAAAGAGAAAGGAAGGAAGGAAGGAAAGGAAAAAGAAAGAGAGAAAGAAAGAAAAGGAAAAGCAAGGGAGGAAAAGAAAAAAGAAAAGATGCCAGTGGCTTTAATATGAAATTACTGAAATTAATGTTTTATACGATATGTAATCTTTTTTTTGGTACCAGGGATCGAACTCAGGACCTTGCGCTTGTAATGCAGGCAGAACCACTGAGCTAAATCCCTGGCCCCATAAGATATTGTTTACGTAATATCTGAGTAAAGATACAAATTTAGCAAAATAGGCATATGCTTTCCTTTTTTTTTCTTTTTTTTTTTTGGTACAGGGGATTGAACTCGGGTCCTTGTGCTTGCAAGGCAGGCCACTGAACCGCTGAGCTAAATCCCCAGCGCAGGCATATGCTTTCTTTAAAGATGAATTTTTATTTGTCATTTTCTTATGAGTGTTCAGAATCTAACTGAAACCTTCAAAGTGTTAAAAACAATCTTAAGTATACAGTAATTAAGTACATTATTTAGTCAAGTTGAAAAGTTCAGATACACTTCTCCCTTCATGGTTGGGACTTTTTATCTTCTAAGATATTCTGAACTTCGACCACCTAAACGTCAAAACAACGCTGGGAGTGGTGGTGCCCACCTGTTATCCTAGCTGCTTGGGAAGCGGAGGGAGGACTGCAAATTTGAGCCTGGTTGGGCAACTTGGTTAGACTTTGTATTAAAAAAATAAATAAATAAAAAGGGCTAGGGAGGTATCTCAGTAGTAAAGTGCTTGCCTTACTACGTAAAAAACCCTAGGTTCAATCCATAGTACTAGTACTGCAAAAAAAAAAGGGTCCAAATACTGAACTGGACCATGTCAAAAATTCAGTTCAAACCCCAGTAGACAAAGCTTTAAATTTCTGCTTTGGGGAAAAAAAAAACCCATAAAGTTTAAAATAAATGGGGAAACATATTTGCAATATACATAGCCCACCAATAAATGGCAGTTCACCATACTAATAAATGCCCGGAAGCTAACAGATACCACTTCGAGCGCCTCTTACAATGACAGATAGAGGCCAAAGGTAACTTGTGTTTATCTCATGATGACTCAATACATTTAGTATTAAAATATTTATAGAAGTTATTCTTTTCCTGATGTATACATTTTTTTATGGACTCTGTACATGACAGTCACGTTTAATATCTTTATAAAGAGCTCATTAAAAATCTAAACACAAAGATAAAGAAAGAGAAAAAAAATAATGGGCCAAAAATATAAATAGATGATTCAAAAATACCAAATAGCCAATAAGCATGTGAACCATCTAATGTCATAAAAGAAACAGACACTTTAAAGCTACGGGTTTTCTTATTGCAAACAAGAAAAGGTTAAAAAGAATGTCAGTACTTACTGTTAGTTACACTGTACTATACATTAACTTCCAGTACTAACTGTAGAAATGTTAAGCTACTGCAGCACTTCTGAGAACAGTTTGACAAAATATATGTAAAAAGCCTTAAAAACATTATTACCCTTTGACCCACACACTTAAATTAATAAATATGCATCCGATGGGAGTAAATTTTAACTATATATATATACACCAAAACCCAAAGAAATATATTATAAAAGCAAGTTTTGAAAATTATAATGTTTACTTTCTCTTACAGATTTTTATAAAGTCTAAAGTTTTTACAGGGTTAATTGTTTCATTAAAAAATTCCTGTTAATATAATTTACATATGATTATTTAAAATATTTGTAAGATTAAATAAGTATAACCGCATTATTTATCTGTAAACATCCTATCTTTCAGGAAAGGATATGAGTTTTCAGTGATACAATTACAAATTCTGGCACCATGAACAACAATCAACCGTGAACTTCTCTCTGTGGTTGCTTCAGGACAGTACATTGCTCCATAATCCCCTTGCGGACTGGTTTTGGTCTTCTTTTTGGTAGCTTTATTGAGAACATTTTTTTTCTCCTCAGATCAACAAATGCTTTTATTTTTAGCTTTCATTTTCAGACTTTACATTATAAATTGGGACAAAGAGTTCAATTACAAATTCTACATGAATTCTTAAAAAGATTATAATAGCAGAGTACACAGCATAGCATCCGGAGGTAAGAGAAAAATGTATTTCTACAGAAAGATCTTTCTATAAGATTGCTTATGAAATCCTCCCAAATCTTTACACAGTCTGATACCGTTGTGAATTACGCTCTGCTCCTGTGAACACTCTTCCCTTGACTCTTAGGATACCACGTTGTTCAGGACACCATTTTGTCTCTTTTGCTGGCTTGAGAGCCACAGGTGGGAGCACCCCAGGACCGAGATGGGCTTCTTTCAAACTTCATTCTCCCCCAGTGACGTTCTCAGTCCATGCCCCATCTAATCACCATCTTCTACCTGGGCCCCAGCTCGGATCCTAAGCCCCTTTAGGAATTTCAAATTTGACATACAAACCCTGCTCCTACTTCAAGTTGCCCAACTCAAAAAGTGGCAGGTCATCCTTGACTCCTCTTCTGCCTTCACTCCTCACTGTGACTTGTCAGCTTCTAAACTCCTAAACATATTCTGAAGTTCAAGTCTTTCCATTTCCATTATTAAAACATTTCTACTTGCAGTCATTTCCAGATGACCTGCATCTCTCTCTCCAACTACTTTCTAACTATTTCCAGTTTTGATCTCTTCCGTCACTTTTCCACAGAGTAATCAGTGGTCCTTTCAAAAATATTAATGTGAGTTGTAGCACTCCTCTGTGCCAGCTCTGCAGTACACCTGGAATAAAATCTAAAACCCTTACATCAGTTTTCAGAGACTGCATAATCTGGCCCTGGTCTGTTCTCTGGTTTCACTCTACCGTCCTCCCTCCTGCTCACCAGATTCCAGCCATATTGGCCTGAATTTTGTTAGGTGACACCAGCTATGATCCAATGAATGTCTGTGTCGCCCAAGTTCTCTACAGGGCCTGTGAAGAGGAGATAAGGGGTAACTGAGGTCAGAAGCGGTGACAGGTACCCTCAGGAAGAAAGGAGACGAAGCCCTCATCTCTGTCTTCACACATGTACACAGACAGCAGCCCATGTGAGGACACAATGGGAAGGTAACTGTCTGCAAGCCAGAAGAGATTCTCCATTAGGAACCAGGACAATAGGAAATATATTTCTGTTGTTCAGGCTGCTCAGTCTACGGTACGGAAAAATATATATTTGTCTTTGTCCCATGTTCCTGACACACAGCTCCTAAAAGCACTGGAAGCCAGGAGTGATAGGAGTGTTTTTTGTATGATAAGGAGATGACCGCCTGGGAACCCAGATGGCTTAGGATAGGTGCTGGTCCCAGAAAAACAAAGCCCTGCTTGGAGCTGAACTTTCTATTCTGCCACAAATACCAGAAAGGGGAAAGGGCTAGGGATTGAGTTTGGAGGGCTTCCAGGCTGTTAAGACACAGAGGTGCTAGGCAGTCACAATGCTCACAGCAGACAGAATTGCTGTGCTCTCCGCATTACTCAGCAAGTTCTGCCTTTCAGAAGTACGATAACTGTGCTTCCAAAATAATCATAGAGTGCATTTAAAAATCAAACTATTTTCTTGCTTTTATCTAAAAATTCCTTTCTTGAAGCACACAGCTGGGTACCTGAATAAGCTACATAAATGCTGTTTAAAGTATGCATTTTTTAAAAATACCACTATAATACTACTTAGAAACTAACCTGCATTTTTTGGTACTCCTGCATAGAGAAAACCAAAAAATGTGTTCTAAATTCCCACATTATCCTGAATGATACATTTACATTCTTGAGTCTTGTCATATAATTTCTTGCTTCTTCTACTTTACTTTTTCTCTCCCACATCCTCCCAAGATGGGAGTCTCCTTACGTTTGTCCACACTGGTTTCAAACTCCTGGGCTCATGGATCCTCCTGCCTCAGTTTCCCAAGTGGCTGAGACTACAGCCAGGTGCCACCACGCCCAGTTCCCTACTTCAGAGTTTTAAAACAGATATTTCCTTAAAAAACATTACGGAAGGGCTGGGCGTGGTGGCGCATGCCTATAATCCCAGCACTCAGGAGGCTGAGGCAGGTGGATCGCTGTGAGTTCGAGACCAGCCTGGGCTACATAGTGAGTTCCAGGTCAGTCTGAACTACATAGTGAGACCCTGTCTCAAAAAAACAAACAAACAAAAAAAAAGGCTTTAAAAAAAAATTACGGAAGATTTTATTGTTGGTGGTGATTCTTTTTCTGGTTCAGAGAACAGTTATAATCTATCTATTATGGACAGATACAGCACTGTTAAAACTTTTCTCTACATTCAATATATGTAAACACAGTTGCATATATTAGCTTATTATTTCTTTTTTTGATGAATTATTTTGATAAAAATTTATTTGTATCTCTTCTTGATAAAGGAAACTAGTCTATTTGTGTTTGAAATACAGTATATATAACATAATAATTTTTTTTTTTTTGGTACCGGGGATTGAATTCGGGTTCTTACGCTAGCAAGGCAGGCCACCAAACCGCTGAGCTAAATCCCCGGCCCTAGAACATAATAATTTTGGATTGGGAATAATAACAATACAAATGGGAAGGTATTTTTTTTGGGAGAAAAACATTTTCTGTTTGCAGAGACTCTAGCTCGCTAAGTCACTGATGACTTACCTTCTGCAGGCCCTCATGAATGAGGTGACCTATGTCATCTATACTCCTTCCTAACCGCTTAGATAAATACGTGAAGATTGGATCTTCTTTAGGCAACAGAGGAGCAGAAAGATTAACTCTCTCTTGTACACCCTAGAAAAGAAAAAGATTGAAAAACGTGGTCAAAGGATATGACAGGATACAAAAGATCAGAAGTAATTGAGCATCTTGCGGCATTTATTTTGAAAAGTATGAAGCAGGATATGTTTGTCAAATTATAAAGCTATTTGGAAGGAGAGAGGAAAAACAGTTTTTATAAGCAAGAGATCAAAGAAAAGAAAAATGTAGCAAAACAAAGCAGAACAAAACAGAAATCTGTGATGTTCCCTACTTACTCGCAAGTGCTGGAATGCATGTATACTATATGGAAGTTCTAGAATTTTCGTACAGTCGGGCTGCTCGGGATCTGGCGGGACAGGAGATTCTGCGTCTATATAATCTTCAGGGCTAAGATCAAGAAGCAAAAAGCAAGAAATGAATGAAGGATATGAAAAACAGTACTTCAAGAAATTTTCCTCATACTCTCATAGCATCTTAACTTTATAACCAATATTAATCAACATTTGTACCTTTTCACATAGCTGCATAAGAAGTCAATTATTTTGGGAATTCAAATTAAAGGAGTAAGTCAAGAATTAAAAAATAGCAGTAACTCACAGAATGCTGAGATTGTGGTTTTCAAAATGGAGATAGTGTAACACTGCTAAATTCTTCGCAGAAATGTTAAACCTAATTAAACTTCCGGTTACAGCCTCTTTAATTTTTACAGTTACTGATTTTCAAATACTTTTTGCAATGTGGTAGATTGAAACAACTGTTCTGATTTGTACTTATGTGACCTTTCTGAGAAACATTTTTCCCCATGTTCACTGGCCACTTATATTTTATTTTTTACTATAACTTTCTACTGTGGTGTTAAATATTTTTAGTTGTTTTATAAGAATTCTATATGCAGCATATATTGTGAACTTTGAAATTTCAATCAACTTTCTTATGATTATTGCACAAATAATTTCTTACCGACTTGAGAAAGATCTGTTAGGAAAAACAACTTTACTTGTGGAAGGAAACTTCTTTACCTAATGTCTTTGCTCTCCAAAGTTATGTATGTTCCGTCATATAGGTCCAGGTCTCCTAAGGGCACCTTGGCTTTGATGCAGTCTGGATCTTCTTTATTATGTCTCTGTTCCAGTCCTGTGTCTCTGTCCTCGTTCTCCTCTATGTGAATTTTTTGAGCAACTAATTGCTTCTGTTGAGAAGAAAATAAGAACTGAACGGATTCTTACCTCAGTCTAGAGAACAGTAAAGACAAACAATGTAGTAAGTGTTCGAGAAGTCAGACAATCCTCTATAGAGAAGACAGGAGTTCTGAAAATGCTTTGTTAACTTGCTTAACATACATAAGTTTCTCTGAGAAGGCGCCCATATATGGAATGTAACAGACCACAGCACTTAACAATGTTTATATGTGAGAACCTCTGTAGCATGGCTACCTGTACAGCAGACCACTGACTGACTTCCCTGGCACAGAATAGCTCTATAATTAAACTTCCTTGGCCTGTCCAAACCTGGAAGGTTGCTGCAATCCTTCAGGCGATTTCAGGTTCTGCTATTGGTACCTGGGTATTCTGGGTGAATTCCTTACACATTTATCTTTTCTAAACACACAGAGGAATAACATACACATCCTTCACTCCATCACCCTGCCTAACACACATTATCATTTATCATACATTGAACACATATATCTATCTATAGACTGATTGATCGATCTCTATTTTTTTTTTTTTTTTGTACCAGAGATCCAACTCCAGACCTTGTGCTTGTGAGGGAGGCACAGTGTGCTACAAGCTAAATCCCCGGCTCTAACTTGCTATTTTTTTAAAAAGGACAAAAAAGAATTAAAAATCTTATTTACTACCTTCTAAGTCCCTCTCCCTTCCCAAGGTCAGCACAATCCTGAACTCATGCATCATTTCATATATAGTCTTACAAAATATACTGTATAACCTTTTCCCCTTAAATATTACTTTCATGATAAATCAATAATTTTTAAAATTTCACATAAAAGGTACACAGAATGTGCTACTCTTCAACTTTTAACTTATTTTGAGATTTATCTACACTGTAGTTCTAATATTTTGATGTTAATGTATGTCAAAAAAGTATCCGTTTTGCTGTAAATATTAAAGTTGCTTCCTTTTTTTGCTATAATATTCTTAAAAGACCTCTTTGTGCACATGTGTAGAAGTTCTAGCAGGCATACAAATAGATGATCCTACAGGATATACATTTTCCAATTGATTTAGACACGTAAATCTGTTCTTCATACTAATTATAACAATTAGAATTCTACCAGCACATCACAATATCCACATTCCCACAACAAACATTTATCAACATTTACTTTTGTCATGCTTCTAAATGAATACTACTCTGATGGGTATGCAATATCTTGACATAATTGTTGTATTATTGTGACTGACTTGACAGACTGACTTCTAGACAACTACGCACCATTATTCTGGACTCTGGCTTAGGCAATGCAACTTGTTCTGACCAATGCAACATGAGAAGTCCCACGTGGCTCTTTTGTGGGAAGCTTTTCTAGAACCAGGGTATGTTCTACCCTGTTTTTCTCCCTCTGCTACTGAGAATGACAAGGTATACGGGTAGCAGCTACTCTGTTGAGTCTGGGGCCTGGCTTATGGATCAGAGTGACATGGCCCAAAACCCTAAACGGCTCAAAATGATCATTTAGCCTGACCTGTTTTCAGCTGGTAAGATTTTGGATTCTTACTAAGAGAAACAGATCTCATGATCTATTTGCTATTTTTCCCTCATACCCTGCCATTTTTCTGTATTTGTACTACCCTGTCCTACTGAACTCAAACCTGGCCATGTGATTTGCTTTGGTCAATGGAGTGGAGAAGTATGTGATCTCTCAGTAGAAACTACCTACCTACCTATCTACCTACTTACCTACCTACGTAACTACTTAAATTATTGAGACAGGGTCTCACTAAACTACCCAGGCTGGCCTCCTATAGCTGAACTGAGAAAGAAACCCAATAGATAATCTGAGTTTCAATTAGTGAATTTATTCTGCTTCTATTTATTGGGATTGTTCTTCTTTTTTTTTTTTTTTTGAGACAGGGTTTCACTATGTACTTGAGACTGACCTGGAACTCACTATGTAGCCCAGGCTGGTCTCGAACTCACAGCGATCCTCCTGCCTCAGCCTCCCAAGTGCTGGGATTACAGGCATGAGCCACCATGCCCGGCTCTTTAGTATGTTTTTGAAAGAAAAGACTCTTTGTGAAACAAAACTGCATGCATAAAAAGTACTAATTTTATACATAGAAAGTACTAGTTCCATAATATCAATACCTAAACTGTCTGCAACTTCCCAATTGTTTCTACCCTCTTTTAAAAAATCAAGAGTACAATCACATACTAAATTGCTTGATATATCCAAGTTTCCATTCTTTTAATTTATTTGTTACAGAAATTGAGTTGTTTGTCCTGCGGTCTGCCACACTACAGGAATTTGCTGAGTCATCAAGGTTTATTTAACATGTTCCTTTGTCCTGCGTATTTCTTGAGTAATGACAGTAAGATTTAGGGTAATAGCATTCCTGCGTCACGAATCTCTGCCTGCAGATTTCTCCTCGGAATAGTATCTTAAGTAAAAAAAAAGATACAGAATCACAAATGAAACCAATTATTTTGAAAAACAATTTATATTATAGTTTTTTTTGAGGGGGGCTACTGGGGATTGAACTTGGGTCCTTGGCTTTTCAGGCAGGCGCTGGAACCACTGAGCTAAATCCCTGGCCCTGTATTATAGTTTCATTAGATTTCTTTTGCAAGACTACTTAAAAGATGATGACATGCTTAGTTTGTAATATATTTGCTAATAAACTATCAAATAGGATTTTTATGTACTTTACTTATTCTTGAATATGACTAAACTGTCTAACCATCACTGAACATGCTCCAAGGTAATTAACTGTTTATCTAGTTTTACCTTTTGGAGTATTGTTAAACACATCCTTAAATAATATTTAGCAACTTTTAAAATATAATAACTTTTATATCAAGATTTTAAACTCAGCACTACACATCCACTAGGTTTATTTTTCTTCTTATAGAAATATATCCTTAGTGTTTCCTTTTAAGTGAGGGTCTGTGGCTAATAAAACATTTTGTACATCAAATATTTACTTTGCCTGCATTCTAGAATAACTGTTAAAGGAATAAAAGCTCCTAGTTTGACTAACTTGCCCTTAGAACTCTGAGGATATTCTTCCACCGTCTTCTGGTGTCCGATAAGTCTATCTGAATGTCACTGCTTTGTAGACAAGCTGTTGCATCTGTCTCATGGCTTTAAGTCTTTCACGGCTACGAGCGTCTATCTTCAGCCCAGACCTTTCTCCAGGAGTCCACACTTGAACAACCGACTCTCACCTTAGTATCTATACCTGGATGAGCAACAGGCACACACCAGAGCCAAACTCTTCCCCAGTCCTGCGCCTCCTTCAGTCTTCTCTAGCTCAGCTGCCGTGAACTTCATCCCTGCAATCAGTCAGGGCCCAAAACCACAGGAATTCCTTCTCCTCCTCTATCTCTCTCTCGACCATGTCATGACCATCAGACATCATCTAGTAGTTTTGTGGCCACTTCCAGGTTCTACCCTGTTCCAAATCTAGAATCAGATCTTCCAGTTTGGGACTTTCTACCCTAGGGTAACACTCTAATGTGAAAGGATATTCAGGAAACCGAGAAACCAAGTACTGAACTTATGGATGATTTGGTTCCCACTGTGGTCATCAGGTTTTGCTGTCTTTTCTGCTATTTTCCCTCAGACTCTCTGTGTGCAGACTGGCTCTGCCCTAGTGTTCAAGAGTTAAGTCGATCTGTTCTTTCATCTTATATGGAATAAAGTCAGTCTCTTACACGGAGTAAGGTCAGAGCCGAAATGCCAAAAACAACAGGCTGCTTTGGCCTTAGAGTCCAAAGAGTTTGTCCATAGCTCTGGCCATACTTCCAACGTAGCGTTTCTATTTATTTCTGCCTCATGCAGATGCATATATCGCTTCTAAGTCTGACTACCCTTTATTTTGATACCTACATTTGCATTTTCGCTGTCATTGCTGTGTGTATGCTAAATACAAACTCCTATACGGCCTTAGGGGAAAAACTGTAGTCAGTATTCTTCATTTGCACTTTACCTACTTACTGAATGGTATTTGTCACTACATATCACCTAATTTAAACCTTCTATTTGTATCACACTGCCTACTAAAAAAGATAGCAATAAACATTTATTGTGCTTATGCATCTAAAAATAACTACTCTTCATTGCACTTTTTTGAACACTGTTTAAAATAAATACAGATCATGCTTCCAAGTATGAAGCCCTATAATTATACCTACTGTTGTATCCTTAGTATTAATAAAAAATTAGCACTTCCAGATCTATGAGTGATAAAACCAGTAGCAGTAAGGTGAGAGACTATTTTAAAAATGTCGACATATTCTAGCTCTGTAAATATTCTAAAGGTACTACTACATATACAGAGCTGATTAATGTGTGTTAATATTAATATGTGTTTCCCTCTTAGAAATTAAAGAAATACAAATTTGTAACTATTTGTAGACCTACACATGCTGATGAATGTACTGGTCTGATATATGTAAAATCTGGGACTTTCATGTAATTAGAAAAATGAGTACCACCCTGGCATAACAGGTATGTGAGCTTTTAGTTCAGAGATAAGCCTTTTTACCTCTGGTTTTGCTGTACTTTGCTTTATGAGTTCAGGCAACTCATTATCTCTCAGGTTTAACTATCTCCTTGCTTCTAAAATGATGATTTTTATAATTCCCTCTAGCTCTAAATCAACCTGATTCTTTTGTTATCAATCCTATGTACTCTCAAATAGTTTTCTAACTCCCACTTGACAATTTGGTTTACTTACCCTACAATTTAGTTTCTTTAAAATTTGGATTCAACTTATACAGTAACTTTTAGGGAGTGTTTTCATGAGAAAAAAGTAGTTTTTCAAATAAATCAAGCAAAATCTGTTCAAGTCAATGATAAAAAAAAAAGCTCCTTACATGTCAATAAATGTGAATGGTAATATTATTAATAATCCATCTATAAGTAAATATAGGCAATTAAAAGTTATATGTTTCATGATTCTTTCATAATTTCCTATGATTTTTTAAAAAAATGTATAAAGTAACATTGAAAAAAATCTGAAACAAAAAACAAACAACACAAAGGTAAAACCAGGTTTGGGATGTAGTTCAGTTGTAGTTGCTTACTCAACTGTTTGCTTGCCATGCAAAAAGCCCTCGGTTCATTCCCCAGCACCAGAAAAATGAAAAGGTAAAACTGATGCTTGATTCATTTATTAAACAGCTTTTATTTGACTTGTAAGTGTCACCCTTTCAGGTGCAAAGTGATTAAGACTTTCCACTTCAACCACAGAATACACCACAGCAAGACCCTAGTTTTCATTATTCACAAATGAACACAAGTTACAATTTTTCTGTTACTAAAACTTTCTTTTTCCTATTTTACCCAACTCCTCTTTTAAGAATATCATCATAGATTATTATCCTCTTTCTACTCGATGGAAAAACAAACACACAAATTCTGTTTAAGGATGAATGAATGAAGAGTCAATTACACACCCTGCGAGATTAGTCAGTCTTACTACTGCTTACAAATCACTTTGATAAGCTGGTTTAAAAAAACAAAACATGATCTAAAGGTATTCCTTCAGAAGTCAGAAGAATCAGGCTACAGAAATAACACGCTTTAGGTTTTCCTGGAACATAGGAATGGCTCCACTGAGTTGCACGTTTCAGCTGCAGATCACACGCCCAGTTGCCTCACCTCCAGTTCTCTGAGGTAGTTCACTGTTGTTTCTTGTCTCATTAGTATGACTAAGTCATGGGGATGCTTCAAGTTCATTGGGGAATCCACCTACAAGCAAGCCATAAACAAGTAAATAAAACTCACATTTCATTCATGTCTGCTTGGGTTAATAGTCTGTAATATGACTTGTTCAATTATCATTATAATTGGTACTAGCTGGTCAGTAAAAAAATCAAGGGGTGTTTCAGAAGTGATGAGATGCATGGCTGGGTGCTAGCATCTGTTCACCAGCACCAGGTGCTCAGCTCAGGTCTCAGCACCAGAATAAAAAAATAAATTTAAAAAAAAATCACATGATGCAAATTTTAGGAAAGGGCATGAAGAGGTGCAATAGCTGCCCCATGAACTTTAACTTGAAATAGCAAATATCTCAAGTGAAAATTCTGACTTGACAGGTCATATAAAAATATTAAGGAGACATATTTGGCAATGAATGATAAAGTAATCTTCTTAAAAGATGGACGATGCCTGTGATAACAGAGAAGAGACTGGCTTTTTTGATAGCACATTCCATACCACAATAGGCTTGGAAGCAATAAAAAGAAAATACTAAAAGCACCTATTTTTGAAGGCTATTTGTAGAAGGGATAAATCAAAGATAATATAAGATAACCTTGAGATTTATTACCTATAGCTTATGTTCTCTAGACCAACAGATCAAGAGACTATGTTGTTGAAAATGTAGGAAAAATGAACCCTCCTATATTGGTAGCAGGCACATAAATTTGTTCTCATTTTTTGGAGGGTCGTCTGACAACACATATCAAAATGTTAAAAGTACATAATCTTTCACTTTAGCAAAACAAACGCTAGGAAACTAACCTGCAATATTCTCAGACCAGGAGGCAAACATATATACTAGGATGCTCACTATAACATTTTTAGCTGCAGAAAAACAGAAAAACAAACAAACAAGCAAAAAACCTACAAACAGAAATAAAGAAACAAAGAAAGAACAAACTGGATTTCATCAATAGAGGAATGGAGAGACCTGACCCAATGTCCAAAGGAATAGAGTGTACGAGAAAATGTAAAAACCACAGCTTTACACAGGAAGCCAAATACAGTCTGCTCACTTTCCAGTGTTGGTTGTTTAGACTGCAAGAGGTACAAGTCAGTACTTGACTTCATAAGTGATTTGCTTATTTATTTGGCAGAGGCTGGCTACTTAGTCAAGGTTGACCTTAACTCACTTTGGAGTCCAAGCAGGGCTCAAGGAGCCATCCTCTTGCCTCAGCCTCCTGAGGGCTGGAATTACAGAAGTGTGCCACCACACCCAGCTTTATATGTATTTTTAATGAGATTTTTAGAAAAAAAATTGGTGGTGGGGCAATGTGGAAATACAGAACATTTCAAAATACAGAACAGTTCCGTTTACCTGATAGTTGCGCGAAGCCCTAATGAAACCGATGAAGATTTACATTAGAGTAACATTTGAAGAAAAACCTTAGTTCTGAATTAAAAATTACTAGATCACCAGGACTTTATCATATTCAGAAAACAAGGGTGTGGGCAGCATTTAACTGTGACGAAGTGCTTTTCATTTCCTGGAAGCTTTTTGTTCAGCAAAGGCAGCAGTGAGAGGAGCTATAAAGACAGGAGTATTGGCAGAAGGGAAGGGGTCCACTGACAGCTGCGTTTCTCTTTTTGAGGTGACAACAAATGGCACGGCTCTTTGCCAGACAAAGGGTTAGCAAAGGGAGGATTTATAACCTGACACGTATTTTTATTGCCATAACTTCAGGTTCTTAAATTTTAAGACATGACAAGTATCGTTAGCAAATGGCAAGCTGAATTTCCTTCTGGATACTTCTCCTTTGAAGATTATAAAAGAGGGTACATTTGATAGCTCAGCAAATATTAAAACACCCATGCAACCAATAATATTTATTGGCTCAGGTACACCTAAACTGTTCAATATTTGGAGCCTATGTACTTATGTTATATACAATGTATGAAGAAACATGAATCTGTTTTAAAAATCTGATAGCAAGCTGGGCATGGTGCTGCATGCCTATGATCCTAGCACTTGGGTGGCTGAGGCAGGAAGGTCACTGTAAGCTTCAGGCCAGTGTGAGCTACGTGGTGAGTTCAGGGCCAGTCTGAGCTGCACAGTGAAACCTTTTCTCAAAAAATTAAATAATAAATGTGATAGCATTGCAAAGAGGTTACTATAAGCCCAGGAGGAAAACATGACAGGTATTAGAGTCAGGTGGGTTAAAAAATGATACAATGCACATATAAGATCTCAGAGTACCTTCTGGCTTTTTTACAACTCTAGAATTTTCTATACCACAGAGCACAATAAATGATGCCCATAATCACCTAAATCACAAAGAAAAATTACTTTCATTGCACATTATACTGCAGGGAAAAACTGACCAAATATTTGGAAATTAAATGGCTATGTGGGATTTTATTATTGAAAATGATTCATTCTCAGAATTCTATATAAACAAAGTTTCACTATTACTATAGTAGTTTATTTTAGAAAGGAAAATGACAATGTGGGTGTGGCAGCACAGGCTTGCACCCTTAGCACTGTAGGAGGCTGAGGAAGGAAGACTGGAGGTTTAGTCTCAGCCCAGGCAATTTAGCAATGTAGGGAGATCCTGTCTCAAAATACATGCATACATACATACATTAAAAACAATAATGAAAAGGGCTGGCATGTAGGTAGCTCAGTGTGAAGAAGACCTTGGGTTCCATCCTTAGTATCCCCAAACAAACAAAAAAACCAACAAAGCAATTCAGTTTTATTTTCCTTTGAATATGTATGTACAAGCCCCTAATTATATACGTCACTAGCAAATATTTCTCTCATACCAAATTCATTTTCACGTATTTCACTTGCAGCTTTCTCTAATTAACCAAGATACTGTTAACATCTACAGCTCCAATCTGGGGTCCACTGCTGAATTTAGTAAATTCACGTTGCGATGGATGCAAAAAGCACAGGATGGAGGTAATTACTTCACTGCCGGATTAGAAAAAGGGTGAACATTTTAAACAAAATCACTAATCTATGGGTACAAACACTTTTGATGTTCTACAAAGGCAATTTTGAATCAATTATTTTCCAAGGGTCCTTTACGACGTTATTTCCATTGTAACTTTAATTCAAGCCTTCGTATGCAACCTATTCTTTGTACACACTGAATACTTTCACCTGTTTTTTTTTTTTATGTTATTCATCTGAGTACATGAAAATAGCATGGAAAATGCTTCTCTCAAAAGCAGTTGGAAACTGATGAATGAAAATTTATATTATGCCATAATTATTTTAAAAATTCCCCTTAAATCACGAACTAGAAACAGAATATTTTTATCTTTTATTCAGAATTTTAGATTATATAATTTTAAACAATATGGATTTTGGCTCTACGTAAAACCTGAAATGGTTTTCGTGATTTTTTTGGTGTGTGTGGGGGGCTCTTCTGTACCCGAGCTCTCCTTTTTGTGGCGAAGCACAGGAAGCCCTGGTCAGTGGATTCCTTTCCCTGATCGTGGTGATTACTGCCAAGATGGATTAAGCAAGTAAGGTCAGGGGGTACAGAAGAGACTTGAATCCAGAGCTTCTGCTTGAACTGTGGGCTGCAGCCCCTTGTATCCACAGGAAAGGGGTTGTATCAGAGAAACAGGTTGCAGGCACACAGAGAGAGCACCCTTGTTTTATTCTGTATGCCCTGGATCAAACTGTCCCTGTAGCATTTGGATCTGCCCAACATTCTAGTGAAAACTTCCTAATTCCCAAAGTGTTGACGCTGTTTCTAAACCTCTGCCTACGGTGGGCACAGTGGTGCGCGCCAGTAATCCCACTCCTCGGAAGCGGAGGCAGAGAACTGCGTGAAGCTTCAGGCAGCCCACACAAGGGTCTGGCTCAAAACAAACAAAAGAGTAAAAATAAGAAAATAACAGAACCTCTGCCGAACTTCTTAGAGACCCGCTGCTAGGGCATCTTCCTAGCGTGCAGCTCTTTTAAGGGTCTCTTGTACCTCTGCTCCTGCTGCCACCCCTCCCCACGGCAGGCTTCCACTGTTACCCCGTTGGCAAGAGCCACAGGACTCAAATGGTATTTCTTTCCTGAAGCCACCCTTGAGTTTCCATGGTACTTTATGCACGCTTCTGTAAAGCATTTGTTACAGTTTAATTACTACCTGCTTTTCGCTCCCACACTGTTTCTGTATTCCTCTTTTTCACTCAGTGTATATATGCTATTTAATGCTAGTGTCTTTTACCACATTCGTTGGGTGCTCTGTCTCCACTCCCTAAGGCGTTATATAACATTCAAGGAGCCTACTTGGAAAGGAGGTAAAAGGCGAAGCTACCAGGGCCCAGAAGTAGTCCATGACCATAAGGCTGTGACTAGTCATGTGACTCGAAGGAAATCACCTTCCCTGCCTGGGCTGGTTTCCTCATTTATACCAAGAGGAGATACAGTGAAATAACTTCTAAAGTTCTTTTTAATTTTCAGATCCGACCCCATAAAAGATTTAATATTGCCAGAAGAATATCACATTTTTACTAATCTGAACCACACCCAAGTAATGAATGAAATGATCCCACTTCGAATTTGCCTATATAAATTCCTTCTTGCTCTGGGCAGGGATCATTTCCAAAGCTGCAGTTAAAAGCATCTTTTAAACTGTCAGTTTGCCACGTTAAACCAAGACTCCAATTAGGAGAGGCCATTTCTGAGCAGTAAAGTCTTTTACTGAATCACAGGCCAAGCTAGCTCTCTGTCCTTACAGCACTCAATGGTAACAAAGTTCAACCTGAAAAATGCTTTTCTAGATGGGCCAAGAGGTGTATGCCTATACTCTCAGCACATGGGAGGCTGAGGCAGGAGGGTCATAAATTCCAGGTTAGTATGGACAACATAGTCTCAAAAGAACTACTCCAAAAAACTAAAAACACAAAAGACAAGTATTTTTTTCTCTCCCAGTAAAACTATTAGCATCATAATTTTTGATATAATAGCTAATATACTAAAGTTACTTACTCAGCTTCTGCTAACTAAAATTTAGGCTTTTAGTCCTCTCTTCTAT